CTAGCAGCCGGCTACTATGTAGCAACAAAAAAATTACTATGCAAAACTATATAAGGCTAAATAGTGAGACTGTGGTTGGAGGGGAGGCTAATAGGGATGGGGTGGGACAAAGAAACTCACAACACGAACATCACTGAGGTCGGCTCCTAGCCTTAAGACATAAGACGTGTTCATGGTCTTTCGGACCCCAACCAGGGAGCCGAGACGCTCAAACCGAGGCTAGCTTCGAAGTGAGAGCCTTCATTCCTCTTGATCAAGTTATCTCTTGGCCAACCCTCCTCTTCCTCCATTCACAGCTCCAGTGAGCAAACAACGGAGGTGGCGAGAGACGGTGGACTGACATGGGTAACAAGTGTCCGAGCCACCGGAGCCTGGTGCGTGAAATGACGATGCTGAGCTGTTCATTTCCTTTTCCTGTGTCGTAAACAAGGCGTCGGACACGCTCGTTGCTCACGCGGTGTTCTCACCAGATTGCGAAGGCACCGGTGATCGAACATAACTAGCCTCTTTATGTCCGCTAATCCAAGGGGCCAGGTTTCACAACCGTAACAGTAGGGTCGAACGTACCACTGTATTGTGCACTCTATCCTTCAGCACGAGTGATGTCGCGCCGACGCCAAAGATGGCAAAGGTTAGCAAAAGCGCCTCAAGCGTTTTCTATACGGTTCGTGGTCTCATCTTCAATCCCACGGGCGCTGATACAACTTCCCAGATAGTTGAATTGCTGTACGACTTCTAGCTGATCCCCACCAAGGGTCAGCGAAGGAGGCGGTCCAGAACAATCTTGAAGGAACGCTTTGCACTTCGATGGTGCAAAGCAAAGCCCGAAGTGACGGACAGCCAGTGCACGTTTGTAAGCTCTCACAAATTAGAGCAATGTCGTCAGAAGTCGTTCTCCTAGAAGCAGATCCACACCTTCAAAGTCGTGTCCTGTGAGTGCGATTTCCATGACTTCGTCAACAGCGAAATTGAGGAGGAAAGGTGACAGCGGGCATCCTTGTCTCACGCCACTGGAGATATTAAAGGGCGACGACAACTTGCCGTAAGCCTTCACTCTGCCCGAGCTACGCGCATATAATGCTCGGATAATATTCACATATTTCTCAGGCACACATTTCCTGAGTAGACAGTCCCAGAGTGCATGTCTATCCACCGAAGCGAATGCACCTTTGATATCGAGGAACACGACTACAGTGGGCCGTCAGTATATGTGACGGCGCTCCAACAACTGACGCAAAGTGAAGATATGGTCAATGTAGCCACGACCTCGACGAAACCCGACTTGCTCTTCACTAATATGGCTTTTACGGGTGCCAGTCAGTCTGTGAAGGATGACAGAGGCAAGCAAGTTGGAGGCGATGGAGATCAAACTGATTCTTCTGTGGTTGCCGCATTCCGATCGTGAGTCTCCCTTGACAATCGGGACTAGGACGGAGCTGCTCCAGTAGGATTGGACAGTTTCCTGCTCCCACAGTTTCGCTAGTAACTAGGATGAATCATCCACACATCCTCCGAATTTGAAGAGGGCTGGAGGAAGATACTTTGGTCCCGCGGCTTTATTTGACTTGAACAGTCGGATCTCATGTTCGACTTCTGAGCGAGACAGTGAATCCAAATGGACAGCCCACGGAGCGGGGCGATCAGTGGCCGAGGAGTAATCTAACAACTCCGATCGATTAAATTGCTTATCAAAGTGCTCTGCCCAACGATTCAAGCGTTTTGACAAGTTGCAGATAGGCTGTCCACACTCGTCACGTTTAGTTTCACTAACATTGTGAGGTAGATGAAATCGGTCATTGGAGAGCTTGAAAGAAAAAATATTATTGGTGCTGTTATATTTGGAAACACTCAGATTAACGATTGAATCTCTAGATAAATCGCGGCATCTGGAAACGTGTCTTATCGATCGCATTAATAAGGTGTGATCCTTCAGAAGCAGTTTAAAGAAGATGACAGGAGATCAGTACACCCGGTGAAGTACCAAAGCCATCTTAAGTCTGAGTGCTTCCAGATAATTGGCGGTGAATGACATAAATATTACTTAGTCATTCAGAACCAGTTTACGAGAAGCATTCGTAATAAACCGTCGGCCCGTAGCTTAAAGGCAACAAGCTTGTCTCGTAACATTGCGGCGCGGGTTCAAATCCGCGTATGGGTGGGCGTCCTAACAGAATACCCAGCCCACGTGCGACTGGTGGTGGTTGCACGGCAGTGAAGCGCCGTTACGGCGTACAGCTGACACATTATTCCTTTCTATTTCGTAATAAACCGCAATTCATGCGTACCAAGAAGAGATAATGTAACATCATCAAGTTTCCCTTTCAGTTCTCGTCATGATAGCTAACGCTAGTTTTATGGTTATGTGGGCCATCAATCCAAAAATAGTGAGCTCATTTAATTACCCAACAGGACTCTTCCGATTCCAGAATATCAGGTAAAATGAAGAGGCTACTTCGCCATGGGTGACAGCCGCGGAACTGCGTGATTGACAGTTGACTATGATACAGCCCGGCTAACCACTGTCCTCTGCACAGATGGTAACTAGCATGATAGTGGAAGATGAGCCACCACTGTCAATGATGCAGATCCGTGGCTGCCACTCATAACGAAGTGGTACTATTTGCTGGCATCCAGAAATCATGGGGGCGGAACTCGGAAGGGGTCTGCTGGAAGGCGCACCACTGGTGAGACGCAGAAGGTCGAAACGCCGGCGTCCGGTTCTTTTCCAGACTGGCCTAAGTCTGCTGATCGAAAGTGCCCATGGTGAATCAGCTGAACTAAACTAAAACCTGCAATACTCAACAGTAATATAAAAAAATCTGTCCGCATAGCTTTCCAGTCCTTGTGCCATGGCGCTATGCGGAAAGTGCTAGCTCGTAAGGCTAGTCACTGTCCTCTGCAAGTCGTAACTTGCAGGGCAGTGGAAGATGAGCCGGGCTATATCAACCGTCAAAAGGAACATGTTGCCTGTAGCGAGTGAGCGGTTGTAGTGGGTGTCCGAGAAACACGTACCACTGGAAGCATGTATTCGGGATCCATAAGTAACGAAAATTTTCGTCTTCGCGTAAGCTCTACTCATGACAGTGCGCTGACCTAGTAGTTGCGGCAACCGCGCGTGCATTTTCGAGGTCAGCAGATCCACTTCACTGCGGCGAATTGACAATAGCCCATGTTATCGGCACTCATTAAACTCGATGCATTCGGACCGAGGAATCAAGAGGCCAGATTGACTGGCGAATCTATAGGAGTCAAGAGACAAAGAGCTGTTTACTGGGGACAACGAGCATACAAAATGTGCAGTTGATTAGACCACCAAGGAGGTCACTTATCTGCGAGTCTTCTTGAATCTTACGCAGTGCACTGATGCTAGTAACTCCCGTCGATCATTGCTTTTGCCTCTGCCTGGCACACCACCTGCGGCGGCCGCGGCCGGTCTCATCCGGTTCGGCTTTTGGGTTGAGCCATAGCACGCCCACACCAATCCGATTTTTCCAATTATTCTATACTACTGGCCTATGGTGCAGTAGTACGCGCTATTTATTCGTCGGGGTACAGAAGAGTAAGGTGCATAGTAGTCATGTATACGTAGTTTGTTTTTCGTAGCTATGGCTCTGAATCTTTGAGATTGTATTGGATGATTTAGCAATTGGATCGATTCGCAGTTGCCTTGAGACAGCTATAAAAAGATGGATGAGTCTACGGACCATCTACGGACCCATTAATTGACCCTCCAGTGATTACACGTTGTATGCACTATGTCTCCGATCATCTCCTGGTTTGAGCCGATAAATGGTAGAGTAGCAGTTTATCATCCAATTGCAACAAGCATTGAACTCGAGTCGGACAAAGATGATGGACTTTGTGCCGAAGACGATGTTTGGTTCAGGCTCTGTGGAATTGGTAGAGCCAACCGCAAGCGTAGCCAGCAAAAGGTCAGATGGTAAAAGCTGCTAATTAGGTTTTGCAAACAGACTCATATATCTTAGGCATAGCTAACAGAGAATCTAATTACGTTGTCTGATGATGACGATTGCCTGTACACAACTTGGCTGTTGGGAAAATCAGGAGTGCACTCTAAGTAGCCAAACTGCATAACAATGTGAACACTCGTAATGACCCATAATGGTACCTTGTTAAAAGCATGTCCTAATTTGCCATAGGCAGGTTAAAAATAGTAAAGATATTTGTATGTTTGAATGCCCCAGCAACTATTGAATTAGATCATCCGGTAAGACTAAAAGATCCACAGTGGTCCGTTCCTAGAGCCCCTTTAGGGGTATCCTTCCGCAGATATCGACAAAACATTCGGCAAGTCAGTTAAATTGTGTACGATACTGTGACGAGTGGGGATACTCGATGTTCGATTGAAGCAGAATTTGATGAGGTGAGAGAAAGTGAACTGCGACTAAACTCTGACAAGAGGGCACTAATATGATATGGATAACAGATTGTCGTAGAGTGGAGACTGCAGAAGCTGGTGTACCGGACCCAAGTGCTGGCCTGGAGCACGAGAAGATCACGAGGTTGAACATCAGCCAGTCGCTAGGATAACGTAAGTTCAGACAGCCCCGCGGCTATGGGCCGTTCGGTAAATGACGTGCAGTAGAAGGTTGTTGATAAGTTGTTGATAACTTTTGCCACTTTGAACATCAGCTGGAGATGCATTGTGATCAGAGCCATGAAATCAAACATGTCCAGGGATATGTCCGAACGACCAGAACGGTTAGTGGCAAGCATGGTGGCAATACAATGCGAAGGGCGAATTAGAAGCAGTTATCGACTGCCGAATAGAGGTTCGGTGGCAGAAAAACCGGTATCTGACAACTACCAAACCCAGTTGAATCAACTCAGCACCGGTTTTGTTATGTCACCTCAGTCGCACACATTGGAGGCGTGGTTATTAAGTTTAAATGACAGCAGACAAGAGAAAAGACAGTTCGAGATGGAAGAATAAGAGAGTACGGAAAGAAAATATTGAATAACGACAACGTCCCGGTTACCTTGCGCTCCACCAGAAAACCGTAGGTGTAAACCCCATCCAGGTCGTTGAAATTCATATAGTTGTTCAGATAATCGTAGCAAAATGTGACTAATTTGAAAACCTGCAATAGAAAGCGAGAATAGTGGATACATTGGATAGCACCAGATGGATTGACATCCTAACGAAAGTGTTGCTATCTACAATCACCGGGATAGATACTTCACTGATCTGGCAAGTACTTTGAGGTCCTTACTCAGACTAGGAAGGATCAAAGAGAAGCAATAGGTCCAGTAGTGGAACACACATATAGTGATAAATGGATCAAAAATCGAGGTAAGGAAGAAAACCTGAGACGTGTAACATAAATGAGAGTCTTCTAATCTTAGCGAATGTTTCGTTCACGTGGAGGGACCACGTAAGCCCACTGCTCAGCGTCACTCCCAGGTATTTTACTGAAATGGAATAGGTCAAGCATTCACCGTCAATGCAAAGTTGTGGACACTGCGTCAGGATTTGTCCGTAGCGGTTTCCTTTGAACAGCGTAACAAGGACATCCTTGCATTTGAGGTGTTCAACAGTAGGCAACGGGATTTGGACAAATCTGTGAGGTTGTTCAATAGGGTTTGTAGCTTGGTCGTTGATTCTATGCTTGGATGATGGACGCCAATGATAAGATCGTCCGCATACTTCAGCAGGTAACGTAAGTAGGAAACAAGAATTGGGACATAAGGGCTCCCTAAAGAACACTAGTTTGTGGTGCTTAAAGAAGAAATCTTCCCCTTTAACCTGGTAAATTGTATGTATACATGTATTGGCAACAGACTAACGAAAAACATAGGGCCAAATAGAACCATGGAGATCATAAGAAGAATACAGGTTTAATCACCCCAATATCATCATGGCGCATTAGCTAAAGGTGGGCAACACACTGCAGCGATGGTGCCGTAAGAAGAATGGAACTGAAGAAGGACGGAACTGCTTTTGTAAATTTTTCACACGTCATTTCTCAATTTTTGTCGTTTTCAATTGCTAAGCATTAGACATCTGAATCTAAACGATTATGTACACAAATCTTCCACTGGTTTCGACTACGCGTCATATCCTGCATTGTTTCTAACCATCGGCACTCTCCGTCCTTTGGTCACCAACCAGGCAGGCGTGTGAATCCAACAGCAGTAGGACGTGAGGCCAACGATTTCATATGCTGACGCCGAGTGGACGGCTGACCACGACGCGGTCTGAAGTCAGACGACGGGAAAAGTCGGTAGGATTGTTCTCAGTCGCAATGAGATGAGTGTAAAAATAATCAAACCTAGTGTAGAATAAACCTGAACAAGTCAAGCGATGTATTAGAGGCAATTTTTAGAGAGATTTCCAAAGCCATACGTCCGAAAGTGCAAAGTGGTGTTTTGGTGCGGAACCATGCGAATACGTAGCACTCGGAATCCACAGAGATGAATCGGACGGCTGTGAGTGAACGATTTCAGACACATACCAGATTGTTGTACATCTTAGGAACGGCAGTATCACTGGTGTACATAAATGTCTTTCGAGATGTATGATTCGTAGACTGTCAGTCAAAATAGTGTGACCTCGAAAGTAACGTTTGTGTGGGGCAATGGCACAAACACTCCAACAACTGCCCAGGAGAGAACTGTGTAGACATGGGGTACGAACCCCCAAGGCTACTAAATGCGTTTACTAAATGTGGTGTCACCTAGCTAACCAAGAGTAACAAGTGGGAAAAATGTGGTAAATAACGAGTTTTTCAGAATCCAATGATCTACAGTTCAAATGTAGTGTTGCAAAAGGAGCTGTACAAAAATAACTTTCTCGTATGAAAGAGGATAACATAATCCATCACGCCAGCAGATTGCCCAAAGAAAACAAGCCTTCTTTGTAATCAGAAGGCGCGGGTTTGAGCATGCCTAACGAACCAGGCCACCGTCGCAGTATTCTTAGCCAACGTGCGAATGTTGGTGGTTGCGCGGCAGCGAAGCGTCGGTGCTGCGTACAGGCGTACTGTTGATCCCTGTTCCTCTTTTGTAGAGTAGTTTTCGAAAAAATTCGATCAGTCAGAAGGAGTTTAGACACTTATTGCAATGGTATCGCTTTCGAGCAAGAAATAATTCAATAGGAAAAGTAGATAACTGAGAGAAAAAGGAGGGAAACACCAAGTTTCGTTACACTAATACTCAAGATGAATTGACAAGTAAGACAATGAGCGAGGACATGTCTGCATCTTTATCGCGACAGTGGAAAGAATAAAAAAGCCGTGGACGTAGGCTTTGGATCTGTTCAGTACAATAGTGCCTCCGAAACGCGAGGGTATGGAGTAACAGACTGTCGGACACATCGGAGGAATCCAGTCAGTATCGACACCGCCGTTAGTGATGCATTAGAAAACAATGATTCATTAGGTAGAGGTGCAGTCGTGCTTAAGTGGGGCATAGAATGGAAATACGCTAAGGGACCCGTGCAAACATGGATGTGAATCGAATGAATGCGGCCACTGAATACACCGGACACAGTTTTCTATCTGTGTAGCGTCAGTGAATGGCTGATAAGTTCCGGATGCGCTACACTGAGTGTTGCACCTTTTGTCAGAGTGAGGAAAAGTAGTGTTTTAAAACAGCAACGAGACCGTGGTTTTCTGACGCGTTATGTGAGCGGACTATGGGCTTATTATGGCGATTAGTTTTCGATGAGCAAATCGTTTCTATGAAGGACCAATTGTTGCGACACACCGTATGCTGATTCTCAAGGGGAACGATGTCAAGGAACGAATAGGCGGCAAAACTGAAGCTTCTGAGTGCACACCAGCCGGTAACTTGGTACCACAAACAGCGAGGACTGAAAGAGACAAATCGTGATCGCGATTGGCCAACTAATTTGAGTGGTAATAATCCGAGTCAGTGAGCGCTGGAAAAACTAGATTTGAACTTAGATCAGCTGAGAAATGCAGAAAAAGGATCATTGTGTTGAATGGAAAGGTTAAAAGAGAGAAGCATGTCACAAAAACAACTGAGTTCGTGACAGCGTCATGCTCGTAGTTCGATTTCAGAAACGGACTACTAAAAATCCACAATGCAGGAAAACGGTAAACGTCAAGCAGAGCAAGCCTCCGAGTCAACTTATCCATGTTCGCTAAGTTGGTGGTTTCTCAAGCTGAACTCTTGCTAATCAGACAAAACGTTTGCAGAAAACGCGCAGGGAGATAGGCGGCCAACGAAAATACCACGATGTAGACAGTCCCACGCTACACAAGGGGATGTTCATCAAATGCCGTTGTGGAACTGATAATGCTCACTAGATGTTTCCACCAAATTTTCACAAAGCTACCCGGGGTGTCGATCTCCCGAGGCCCAGCGGTTATGTCTGTGATGGTTGGCGGTATCCGGTTTTGGATTTGTGTCACTGTGGCCAACCACAAGACGCGTGCGCCTACAGAGGAACCATAGGTGGCTTCCGCTGCACCACCCACAGCTCCATCAACACACTCCATATCCAGTGTAAACCCGAAGGAATAAGACCGGGAGGCCTGCGGATGGGAGCCAAGTTTATTCAACGGATCAGGCCCACACTCCTTCACAGACAAACAAAAGCAAGCAGTATTTTAAGAGTGCGTTCGATTCAGTCGATCGATCGATTCTGCTCGAAATACTTGCGCGGAAAGGTGCTCTCACGAAAAATATGGACATCCTTCCTACCCTATACTCGAACACTACAGGCTGCGTCAGGGTCTACGGTGATCTGTCGGGTAGCTTTTCGACCACAAGTGGCGATCGTCAGGATTGTCCGACTTCCCCATTTTTGTTCACTTTCGTTGTGGACTCTCTCATGGAGTGTCCCCTTGCGGAATCTCAGGATGTAGGCGTTGAGGTCCTGCGTGGTGAAGTCAGTTGATCTTGATTATGTGGATGACATAAGCTTGCATTTCGACGATGTTGCGGTGGCACAATCAACCCTGAATAGCCGATCTAGAGCGGTCCCATTGTTTGGTATGCACTTCGCATTTTCGAAGTTCAAAGTATTGCTGCAGGAACACCAGCCACTTGATGACCCCTTGATGCTTGCTGACGAGGAACTCGAGGTGGTTGATCAATTCACCTATCTTGGCAGCTGCATCAGCAACGTTGGGTGCATAAAAACTGACGTCAGCTTACGCATTGCAAGGGCCAGAGCTGCCTTCTTGAACCCGCGGCATCTTTGGCGACAGAAGGGAATTTCTCGCCGTAAGCGAGTACCAAGCAGATAATCATGCGAGGTAGATAACCATGCTAGCTACCTAGAGCAACAGATAGCACTGAATAAGTTGCGTCGGCTCAGGCACGTGCTACGTATGCCTGGTCACGGCTTACCTAGGAGAGCTTTGTTCAGTCTACCAGGTGTAGGGTGGTGCAAAGCTCGAGGTAAACAGAAGCTGACTTGGAAGCGGGAGATGAAGTCACCGACGACCAAAGAGGGTGCCGTTGGTTCGTCTCGCGTTCCGAGCTGGAGTCCACGTGACTCTCCTTGTGCTTGGCTCGAGACTTTACAGAATATGGCTCGCAACCCACACCAGTGGCGCCTCGGCTGCCGTCTCCTAGTCAGATTACTTGTTTAAAGTGTGCTTGGTGCTGAGTTATCTGCGGCGTAATGGATGATTATGACGCGGGGCATTGAAAGCCACACGGAGCCGTCTCGCCGATGCCGCCTTATCATTGCACGATAGCCAGCTGTTTGTGGCGGTATGTTGTCTACACTAGGTGTAGACTCCTTGACCCTGAATGTTTGCTTACGGCATTAGTATTTTGAACTTAGTTTCCCTTCTCTCCCTCTTCTTACTCTTTATTTCATAGGTCCTCATGGTTGTATGGCAGCGAAGCATCAGTTCAAATGGCTGATGTACTGCTGTTGATAATGAGGATGATGATGTACTTGGGGAATCAAGCGCAAACAAAGCGGTGGCTAGACCGTAGTCCGTTCCACACTGAGTGCATGGAACCGCTCTTCGAGCCTAGCATGACCACAAGGAGCATGCACACCGTCCCCTCCAGCAACGACCAACTGTCTTCTGGAGCCAGTATGGAGGAGGTAGTGGGTAACAAACAGGTACGCACCATGTCAACATGCATATCAAGCGCAGCCACACTTGGGATGTCAAACAACAGCCAATCATTCGAAATGCTGATATCAAATAAAAGATATCGAATAAAGTAAACATTCATGGCGACATAAATACTTGCTAAATGAGCATATGGAGTAAATTTGTTATAAGCGAATCCGCGATAAATACAAAAAAATTATCTAAAAATTACCACGAGATAAAGTTACGCAAGGTTACCACAATTAGCATGAGCGACGTATGCACGTTAGGAGAGGATTATCAAGTATGCAGAAAAAGCGAATAAAGTGGAGGGAATTTTATCCACCTTAAAAAGACCTAGTTTAATGTAAATTGATTTAGCCCAACTGCGGTGAAGAAGTATCATGAATGCAACATTAGCCTCAGCATGGGGTACACACACACACACCCTACCGAAGACATGGTTGGCGGCGTCCGGTTTCGGATTTGCCTGTCATTGTGGCCTTCACAGGGACAGCCACAGGACGCCTGCGCCTACAGTGGGACCATGGGTGACTTGAGCTGCACCAATCACAGCTCCAATCACACACCCCAATGCCTGTGATACACGTAATGGTACTGACCGGATTGCGTACTTCCTTTAACCCCCGTACCCACAAACACTTGGAGATGTGATAAGCCATGCAAGCCTGGCCCACATGCTATATAGTCCAGTTAGTGATTGTACTAACAAGACAAACAAACTGTTAAACTAAGGAACGGAACTGCCACGGCAAAGTATCGGCAGTGGGCCAGTGCGTCACATCAAGGCTTCTCTGCCACGCGAACACCATCAGTCGCGTGAGGGCTAAGGATACTGAGAGATCCCCTGCACCAACGCAAATTCGAAGCGGTGACCTTTGGGTTACAAGGTATGATAGCTGGGTTCGAATAGCTGAGCGAGTTCATCCGTACCGATGGAATTCATTAGCAACCCACAGATTCATGAAGATCGGGTCACAGCTGTCATATAACGATACAGGACGACACAATGATGACAGAAAAAGAGAAATCCCGCAGCATTCATGAAACCGAAAAATTTAGGGACTTGTCCGCTTTTGATCTGGGAAAACATAATGTGATTAGTCAATACAAACTACGCGGTAACAATACGAATGTGGCCTGAGGTTGGTGTTACTTACTTCTGTAGCGCAGGCCGCTGCTACGACTGCATTCGTTGAGGCCACTGCGGGAATGATTCGTTTCACAACACCTTGTACCAGACGCACAGTAATGCCGTCAATGCCGAATTGCTGAGCACGATCCAGCGCTTTCTGGAAAATCCACTGAATATGCTCGGGACAGTCCCCATCTATCGCAACATTTTCTACAATGGAATACCAAGGTAAAAACCGGTTACACACGTTGGTTCCAGCAAACGTTTAACCACAATTAAGGCTGACATGTCGCTGAATACTGACCAAATCAGGAACAAAGAGAAGGCATGTGCAGGCCCACGCACACGTAAGCGATCTACGCGTTAGCAACGTATAAGTCCAAATGAACCACACAATCATCAGAAAGCAACTAAGTTTGTTTACCTAACTACCATAAATATATCGCGACGAGCGTGTGGTAAGGCAATCCCACACCATACGCACAACGATGTTGAAAGTATGCGGACGTTTAACGGTAAACATTCCGGATGGGGAAACAGGGGCACGTTCATGCGGCAAACGGTAAAGCGATGTGGCAATGATATATGGTAAGTTCAGATCAGAACAGTCAGGACATAAACGTCAAGCAGATTGTCCGCAGGCATTCAGTTCAGTTAAACAACTATGATTCGGGTAACGAAGTGCGGTGGATCCAGTTGGTACGACTCGCATTGTCAGAGCAACGATAACTAACACCGGTGGGAAGATGAGGTTGAACGCAGAGAACAAATAAAGTGGAATCAAGAAAGAAGTGCGCAAAACTAACAGCTGGATGCAAAATGCCGAATGCAGGAACGCCAATAACTATGCGGCCAGGCCATTTCCGACAAAGACCAATGAGGACCATCATCAACTGGTCACCTCGCGGTTTCGCTCAGCTTGGTATAGGGACAGCGTATATTGCGTGTCGAGAAAAACGCTCAAATGGCACACGGAGGACATGATCTAGCCAAACTAAGCGGTTAAGCCGGAGCAAACATTCCGATGAGATACCAAAGTTTCTTGCCTAAAACCAACTGATGAACCTCAGCATTCATTACCAGGTGTTTCCAGCAGATGTAAGCAATACTAAGCAAGAAAATGTGGTTAAACACAGCCCAGCGTTTAATGAGTTCAGAGCGAACAGGCCACTTCTCTGACGCATATAGCAACACCGACAGACAGACTGAGATCCCGCCGTCTTAATAGATGGTTGAACCTATGAAAAGCCACACGGGCCTTATTACACACAAATAAAAACTAAAGCACCGATATGGTGGGTATAAACGTCTTTATGTCTCTCGTCAGCGGCAGAGCCAATGGTGTGCTGAGGTTTGTGGTGGCTAGATCCTGACAGATGGTCTACCCACTGCTGCGACTGTTAAGCCAAGGGCTTATATATTGGTCGCCTCCTCGAGGCGACCGCTAAGTAGCAGTTGGGTTACACCCAAGACACACTAATTCGAATGAGTCGGAGAACAGACCAAGTACTACATCTGTTGTCTATCGAGTGCACATTTATTCGAAGGCTATGGTTGAGAACCCGAGTTGTTCTCCTGTAAGGTGTGGGTGCCCAGTCAGTAGCCAGGAGGTTAGGAAATCGTTGATGGCCCTCTTGTCGTAAAACCTAGCCATGGGAGACAACAGGTCCACGGGTTATAAGTTCACAGCTGGACTGACGTAAAGCACCAGCGCCACGCATTGTCTCACATGGTGGGAGGGCACCTCCGGGTGCTCAATGGCTTGCAAATTTCCGCCTGAAACCAGACAGCCCTTGGTCAAATTGGTGCAAACCCGCCGAAGCCCTCCTGCGTCTAGCAGTCGTCGCAGGAACGTATCCCACTAAGGTCGAAAAACATATATTAATTGTTCCAGATCTCCAAAGTCTGCGGGTGACGGATCCCAAGAAGATCCCAATCTGTCGCTGTAGTCACATTCCCGAGCTGGATCTACTCCCACTACCTAGTGGGTCAGGCTAATGAGTGAAAGGCTCCGGACCAAGCTTATCAAGCAAACTCCGAAGCACAACCAACACCACGCGTGCGAGTGCCTACCAATGCAATCGTATGCCTGCGCGCAAAGCACTCAACATCAGATGCTGGAACGTGCGCACACTACTGGACTGGAACCCGAGCGAGCGCCCCCAGGTGACGCACTGCACTTGACACGCTGGAACTGGCGCACTACAACATCGATATTTCCTCGCTCAGTGAGACCCGGCTCAATGAGCAAGGTGTTACATGAAACTGGTGCCAGGTATATGTTCTACTAGATGGAAAACGTCATCTCAGCACCAGGTGAACATGGGGTCAAATTGGCACTATCCGATCGCCCAAATGGTCAGCTGGTGGGTGAACCAACAGGCATCAGCGCCACTGATGACTGTTCGCCTAGGTAAGTTTGCCACTTTTATTAGCACGTACCGTCCGACCATGTGTTATCCTGATGACACGCGTGATCAGTTCTACACTCAGCTATCCTCCGTGATACGGTCTGTGCCGAGGAGCGACCGACTATTTCTGCTGGGTGATTTCAACGCGCGCGTTGGGCGTGATGCATCGGTGTGGACAGATGTCATCGGTCCGCATGGCATTGGTTCAGCGAATGCGAACGGTGACAGGCTGCTCTCACTGTGTGCCACTCACGGCCTGACGATCACGAACACTCGGTTTGCACTGAGTGCGAGTGATATAGCAACTTGGACGCACCCACGGAGTGGTCACGCTCACCTGCTCGACTATGTCATCGTACGTCAGCGTGACATGCGTGAAGTGCGCATGACACGTGTACTGCGTGGAGCTGAGTGTGGCACTGATCACAAATTGGTGCGCACCAAACTGTACATATATTTTCGTAAATCTATGTATTGCACTCCTGCCGTGAATCGGCGTAAATTTAACATTCTCTCCCTCGGTACTGTGGCGAAACGTATGGAATTCGAGAAGGTGGTGGCTGCACCCTTGTGTGATATGGAATGCATAGCCACAGTGGGCGACCTGTGGCATCACATTCGCGATCAGGTGACAGCTGCTGCCGAAGAGACCATCGGGCGCGCAAACTCTAAGCCGCCCGATTGGTGTCATGACAACAATGCCAAGATTCGCATTGGTGGCCGATAAGAATGCAGCATTTGCTGAACATGTAACAGGCCCCAGTAACTTGGGGAAGAAGAGTAAGTTTGGCAGAATTCGATGACCACTGACAGAAGGGCTCCGTCGCAATAAAAATGCATGGTGGACGGAGAAGACGAAGCAGATGGAATCCTACACCGAACGCCGACAACAAAAGAAATACTTTCACTACATGAATGCGGTCTAAGGAAAAAGGTTGGAGCCTTTGAGGCAGCTGATCGATGCTACTTCAGGCAATGCCTCCACGCAGACTGCTGACATAATGCAGATGTGACGAAAACAATTTGACTGTCTCGAACAAACGATCAGATATTGACTGGCCTACATTGAACGGCCTGAAGCAGCACGAGGTGAAGGTGAGTCTGGCGGACACATCGATACTGGATGAGACGCAGAGAGCACTTGCTCAGCTGCGAAACGGTAAGTGTGCCAGTGAGCACAGGATCCCGCCTGAAGTATTGAAATATGGTGGACCTGCGTTGATGACTGCGCTGCATCATTTGGGGCAACGCTTGTGGATTGAGGTGCCTCCTGACCTGAAGGATGCCCTTGTGCTACCACTGCACCACGGCAAAAGAAGCAACTAATGTGTCACGAATTATCGTGGCACCAACTTGTTGAGTTGTGTGGGCAAGGTGATTGTCAGAAACATGCTCAACCGCCTCGGCAGTCAGGTAGCGGAACCGCAAGTGGCGAAAGAGCTATGTGTATTCCGTTCGGGTTGCAGCACTCCATCTATGGTGTTTCCGGCTCTCCAGTTGCAAAAAACATGCAGTGAATGACAACAGCCTTTGTAAGCCCTTTTTGTTGATTTCACTGTGAGGCATTGTGGCTGGTGCTGAGTATGTTTGGCTGTCCGGGTAAGTTTGTAAGCTTGAATGAACGTCTGCACAGTGGGATGCAGATGAGGGCGCAGCTGAGTGGAGAGACCTCGGTTGACTTTGCAGTTGTCTCTGGTGTGAAGTAGTGCAGTGTCTTAGCTCCTGTCCCGTTTAACATTTATCTACATACAATGATGTCCTGTGCTTTTGATGCGGCTTGTGTTTACGGTGTTCGTGTGAAGCACCGTATTGATGGTTGGTTGCTGAACATCCGTCGTTTCGGTCTGAGAATCCTAGTCTGTGAGATAACCATCTGTAACTTGCTGTCCGCTGACGACTGTGCGTTGTTTGCACACAGCGCAGAGGAGTTGCAGCACATTTCTAGTGCTCTGGCTTCAACAGCGGCCAAATTTGGATTCACAAGCAAGAAAAGCAAAACGGTCTGTCCCTTTCAGCCTTCACCGGAGGTGCCATTTGCGAACTTTCCGTGAATCACCATTGGTGATGAAGTAATGGCAGACACTTCCCGCGTCGCTACCTTGGTAGTGTAGTTTCGACTGTTCGGCAAATACGGTGAGCTGCGTATCCGCGTATCGAAGGCAGCAGCAGCATTCGGAAAGCTGGAGTACCGAGTGTGCAATAACCAGAAGCTAATCGATGGCACGAAGCTGATGGTGCACAAATAAATGGTGCTGTCCGAAATGTGGACAGTGTGGACCGTGTACCAGCGAGAGGTGAGATATCTCGAGCGTTTTCATCAATAGTGTCTGTGACGGATTCTGCGCATCGGTTGGTGCGACAGAGTTGCACGCACGGAGGTGCTGCGCCGAAGTGCAATGTATGCAGTGGACTGCATACTTTTGCTGAGACACTTGAGGTGGCTCGGTTACGTGTGCCGTTTGGATTCGACGCGGATACCGAAGCAGCTGTTATATGGTAAGCTAAGTGAGGAGAAGCGACATACGAAAAAACCGAAGCTCAATTACCAGGACAAGATCAAAGTGAGTGTATCACCTTCCACGTTGCGGCACAGGAGCTGGGGTGTTTTCCACCTCTAGCTAACGTGTATAATGATGATGATCACGTAACAAAGTAGATTTCAGATGTTGGGAATCGAAGGCGGTTGATCGGCGTGCATGGCGCGATCTGATCACGAAGGCAGTTGCCGAGATGCAGGGGAATGCCCTGATGCATGCGGATAAGAAGCGGTAAGTGCGGAAGCGCCTGGCGCCGAAGCGTTGTGCTCCATCGACATCGAACGCATGGTGCTGCAGCACATGCGGTCACGGATGCCTGAGTCAGGCAGGCCTAGTGTGCCATGAGCGAGACCACTTGGGGCCAACATGGAAAAGAGGACGGGTGCTGCTGAGAACGTAAGAAGAAACGGCGTAGCGTTTGCAGGTACGCTGAATTCGATTTACTAACCGCCAGGGTGCGTGCTGAGTTTCTTTATTTCAGGTGGTGGGTTTGCTATCTTGTCTTAATGATTTTTTCACCTCATTTTAACGTCTACCTGAATAATCTATTAACATGCACACGTCGCTTAAGCTAATTGTTGTTAAGTTCGTCAACATTTTCGCGTTTGTGGTAATTTTAAAAAATAATATTTTATGACATCCTGAGTTTGGCGGGAATTTGTTGTTAGCCAATTTATTACGTCTGTTAAATTAGCGAAGAGTTAAGTCGGCATATCCGCATCCCTTGTCCGATTTGTTTTATTTGATATCGTCTTTTTAAGTGATTGGCTGTTGATTAACATCCCCGGTGTGGTTGCGCTTGATGTGCATATTGACAAGGTGCCATCCGTCTAAAAACCACCAGCATGGTCGTGGCTAGAGTGTATGAGGGGTATATGGTCCTCGTGATCGTGTTAGGCTCGAAGAGTAGTTCTATGCACATGGTTTGTGTGTGGAGCTGACTACGGCCCAGCCACCGCTTTGTGCGCGATTGATTCCCCAAATACAGTGTGCTTGTGTTTACCTGTGAAAGAGTGTGGGCCGGCTCCGTTGATGAAACCTGACTCCCATCCACGTGCCACCCCGTCTTATTCCTTCGGGTTTACACTGGATATGGGGTGTGTGGATGGAGCTGTGGGTGGTGCAACGCAAGCCATTCATGGTTCCGCTGTAGGCGCAGGCGTCCTGTGGATGTCCCGGTGAAGGCCGCAGAGACAGGCAAATCCGAAACTGGATGTCGCCAACTATGTTTCTTTTGTCAACAAGAAAAAAACAAGATAGAAAGTATGTGCTGCCCGCCATAAAACACTACACTTCTATTACGCGTTTCGATGTTATTTCATCTCATCAGCTAGAGATAGCAGGCACCAAACCCAGGACCATTGGGATGTTAGTTGTGACCGCTACCCCTAAGCCACCGGGTCACGACGCGCAACACTTGACAAAACGGTTAATGATTGATATTGAGGGTTATTTTGAAGTACACATTGCGTGGATGGATTACAACACGCAATCCTAAAGTTGACCGCGATTCCCATTGAAATGAACATTGGCCTTCCGGCCACGAGGACCGAACTGAAGTAGACTGCGTGTCGTAATTCATTTACACAACGTGCACTTCAAAATGACCCTTAATATAAAGAGGTGAACAACATAGGTCTGTATACAGTCGTTCGATTTAGTTCGGTGCCGAAGCGCGGAGGATTCAAATTAACGAACGTGGAGTAAAACAGGACGAAAAGTGGAGTAGAACGAATAGGCGATCATGGAAAATCAACTCGGTTGATAAACCAAGACTTATATAGAAAAGACCAAACGCAGTAGCCACACTAACTCCGCCACATCGGTATGGCCTATGCAGAAACCCCTTCCAAGATGACGGCACATACCAACCCGAGCAAGTCTGTTAATCGCTTCTTACCTTCCCGCCAGTTCTTCAAGTGCGCTTCTCGTGGTTCCACCCAACTTGATATAGCGACGGCAGACAAAGGACATAAGAAGGAATACACTAATTAGTAAACTTATGGGGCATCCGAGGATGACTTGTGAACAGTGTATAACAACAACAACAGCAGCAGTAAATCAGCCATTTGAACTGATGTTTCGCTGCCATACAACTATGAGGACCTATAAAATAAAGAACAATAAGAGGGAGAGAATGGAAACTAAGTTCAAAATATTAATGCCCTAAGCAAACATTCAAGGTCAAGACTCCTACACCTAGGGTAGACAACATACCGTCACAAACAGTTGGATTGCCTGTTTAATGTGTTTGGTGCTGGGTTATCTGCGGGGTAATGGATGATCATGAAGCGGTGCAGTGAAAGCCGCAAGGAAGCTGTCTCGCCGATGCCGCCTTATCATTGCACGATAGCCAGCTGTTTGTGACGGTATGTTGTCTATACAAGGTGTAGGAGTCTTGACCCTGAATGTTTGCTTAGGGCATTAAGATTTTGAACTAAGTCCCCCTTCTCCCCCTCTCATTATTCTTTATTTCATAGGTCCTCATGATTGTATGGCAGCGAAGCATCAGTTCAAATGGCTGATGTACTGCTGTTGTTGATGATTGATAGTGGGAACGCCGCGTGAGCAATGTGCGTGTTCGACGCCATCTTTATAGGACGAGAAGTGGAAATGAACCGCTCAGCACCAGTATTTCACGCATCAGGCTCTTATGGCTGGGTCATGTGCTGCGCACGCCAACCACTGACTTCCGTTACGTAGTTTGTCAGCGCGTCGGGGGTGTGGATGGAAGACGAGAGGAGCCCAGGCGATGACTTTTCGGGAGAAATGAAGACCTCTAGTTAGAAACCTCTCGGCACGCTGGTTGGGGTCCGAAAGACGGTGAACACGTTTGGTTAGATACACTTGTTGATATGGCTAGGGGCTGATCTCCGTGACGTTTATCTTGTGAGTTTATTTGTCCCTAGCTCTCACGCTTAGCCTCTCCATCCAACCACAATCTCATTTCCAAAAGCGTAATATAATTCTGTTTTGCAAGATGATAGCCGGCTGGTAGTTTCCCTGGTGGCTCGGCTGGTGTGCCTGTGTTGCACTTTTTAATGTTCTTATGCAATGCGACACAATAGCTGAGGTGATTTCCACCTTTAGCCAATGTGTATAATGAGGATTATGATGATTATGGATGCACGTGATCTCCGGTTCAGTAACCGGATAACAATGAGTCGGAAGTAAGCTAATCATACTAGCCAACTGTGTTGCGGTGAGGTCACAACTAGCTGCGTGACAACCTAAGCACGATTCCAGTACAAATGTGAAACAGTGAGATAATGCCAGCACTATCCTTAGCTCGCCATTCTGTGATGTGCAGTCTCCTCTTCGGGATTCACCAGGGAATTGAGATGACTAGCTTAAGGTACCCATCTTTACTGTCTCGTGCCAACGGGACTGTCTAAACGGAACTTTGGTAGTGATAAAAAGTGGGGTTATTTCAACTAGCCGGTGGATTACACAAATGGTCTAGACATTAAATTAGCACAATGTCATTAGGGTCACAACTAATCACTAAGAGCTGTATAATGTGAACGGAGAGTGACGGGTGAAAAAAACTCAGTGATACCAGGTCCGAAGCCTGGATCTGACAGCAACCTACCTCCGAAAGGATTTTCTTTGGGCCAAAGCAACACCCTGACATACTCGATACAATGCTCCGGTAGACGAGGTGTGTGAGCAATGGTGCATAATGGAAAATTCACTTGAGGGGGATACAGGTCCAAACTGCACTCCAGACATCCGGTTAGTCCATAAAGAACGACCAAGACGTGACCTTTGAAACCTTCGGTGCCCCCATCAACGAGAGGAATGACCGTGTTCGGATCGGGTCTACCATCAGAATCAAACACAACAAGGCTAGCCTAAGGAAGCAAAGATGGATGAACTGTTATTTAAAGCAGTTAGTTCCCCATAAGCATTTGAAAATCACAGTGTAAAGATGAAGATTGGCAGATGTATATATTTAGTATCGTCTCTTCAGTGCCGAATATGATAACGAAGTGAAATACAACTCAAGTGACGCAAAGCTGTAAACAAACGAAAGGAAAAGTAGGAAGCATGTCTCTATGTCCTATGTCTCTATGCTGTTGATGATGATGATGATGTCCAAGGCAACCTGAGGCTGACCGACAGTTGCTTTAGAACACAAAGCTCCGATTTATCGCAACATCCTCTGCGAAGCATAGGAGACGGGAATTCGTATGTCGCAGCAGAACTCTGAACGGCGTGCTGACCTCAATCCGGCGAAACGAGACCAATAAATGCCTGCCGATCGATGATGTCTAAATTTCCGAAGCTTCGATGGTTTCAAATTGTAGCGTCAGAGCTAATGCTCGGAAACAGTTGGAGGACCCAGAAATACATGATGTATGCTTGGTTCCTGACCTCTGTGTTCCCGCGTTTATAGGCCCTCCCTCCTAATAACAAGGTTACGTAGATTATGGATGCGCACCCGTCTGTTGTTGCTTTTATAGTGCATGAACACTATAACCCCTTGCGTTCGGGAGATCACGCGCTAGTCAGCGATTATCGCTGTGGCCATTGAAAATGTGTCGTCGGCACTATAGAAGACGAATTAGTCGCGCCACGTAGCTGTCCAATGCCTTACGGGCACCATGTCAATCAATTCCGATGAACGTTTTGTCGTGCTTGAAGCGATGATGATGGCACATTTAATCTGGATTTTCTCCTAGACGTGTACGAAGTGGAAAAGGCATCTGCTGTCAAAACGGCTTCTAATCAGGTATCAACGCCTGGTGTCACTTCACAGCCAAGAGGAAGACCTACCCGTACAGGAAAGCAAGTGAATCAAGGCGGAGATCGTATACCGAAAAATCATGGGGGATATGCTAGGAAGTTCCAGTTTCTATGATGCTGTCAAAAGGCACGTGACGCCAATGTGGGATAAGACGAAACCGGTGGACAAGTGCGCGTCACCTCCTAGGAATATGACTGTGAGCTGAGATCAGACGTAGCGGATCGCAATCCTGCAACAGTGGCAAGAAACATGCCGGTGCTGTGAGTTCAAAGAGCGTGGGGATTAACATGTGCACTAGATGTGTGTTCATAAAATGAATACAAAACTGTCTGTGCTAGCAGACGACTTGACCGGAAAATAGAACACTCCGTAGGCGCCGCTTACTGTGTTCGCTAGTTCATCAAGTATAAGACAACACAGCTTCACATTAGACAAAACGTTATGACGGGCGGTGGATCGGCTTTGCTACAAATTGTCAAAATAAAAGGGAAAGATGTTGATAATAGGCCCAGAATGTGTTGCATGCATAAGTCAAGCGACTTTTAATGTGATATTTATGCAAATGAATAGCAGAGTGTAAAGAAAGTAAGCTTAATCAGAGCGGCAAATGAAACATACCAACATTGCATTGATCCAGCGCCTGGCAATAACAGAATCCAACCCACATATGACAACATTGAACTGACGATAAAAAGATTCATCAAAATCTTGAATTTTTTTGAAATGCGGAGTAACATTGCAATCTGGCACACGATGCCTGATGTAGGCGGCGGCAATTTCAGCTTTCGGTTTTCCAACATCCTGTGGTCTGAATAAAAATTGCCTGTTTAGATTAGAAATGTCGATCGTATCCATATCGATAACGTCTATTTGCGTAAAGCCCATCATGGCCTTAGAAAATTTACGGTAATTTCCATAAACAAACCAGATCCTTTAAGAGCTCGCATCCCAGCCCTCCAGCACCTATCACCAGCAGTTTGACATGGGTTTGAACCAGTTCCAACAACTTAAAAAGTGTTGAATAGCGGAATGCACGGTCAGCCTACATCTGGAGAGGGCTCAAATCCGGCACGTTGGAACGGTCCAGGTCGTTCGAGAAAGCATCGTACATTGCGCCATCTTTGGTTGTTTTCGATCATGTATGTGTGATGGAAAGTCCCAAAGGAGTAGAAGAGATAGCTTCGCCAAACTGGAAATTGAGGAAAACTGTAGCTGTAAAATACCTGAGTTAGCGTACATAAATAAGTATTATCACATAGCTGAAAATAAGAAAAACACTTGAACCATTGTGCCTGTTAGGAGGGCTGCTTCCAAACGAATTCAATTTTTAGGTTCACGTGTACATTAACTACAACTATATTTCTCTCCATTTCAGCTCGTCCCTGATCCTATCCCTTTTTTGTCATGCTCTTTTCCACGGTACTACACCAAATCTCTCCGGAATTTCGCACTCTTTCATCAGTGCTTGTTTGCTTTCTCACCCTTCGTGAGTTGACATTCGAGTGAAGGACACCAAGAATATAACACTGAAGACGGAGTTCTAAAACGAATCCAATTAAGTCATATTCAACTGAGGATTTAAAAGCAATCCTCCAACAACAAACGCAGTTCGAGCAATCAAAATTGTGACTCATTCAAACTTGTTCATCATCATCATTACACACGTTAGCCAGAGGTGGGAAACACCTCGGATACTGTGCCGCAAAAAATAAAAAGAAGAAATTAAATACAATAGTTGCATGTCAGCTGAGCTACCAGCAACGGATGGGTATCGTTCGGGTAAGCTACCAGCCGGCTACTAGGCAAGAAGAAAAATTATTATGTAAAATTAAAATACGCTACGAAATGAGATCGTGGTGGGAGGGGGAGGCTAAAAAGGATGGAGAGGGACAAAGAAACTCAAAGCAGGAACGCCAATGAGTTCGACTCCTAGCAATGTTCAGTCGCTTTCAGTTCATTCATAAGCTCCATCAACAAGTAACTACTTGTCATCCTCAGCCAATAGCCATTGCAGGTCCTATCTCAGATTTCACAAGGAGCCTACATCCGGTCTCACTTTCGATTCGTAGTACAAGCACTGGAAGGATGCAATTGAGAACGAGTCTAAGGAGAAAGATGACTCGTGAGAATCCTGAGTGTAATCGTTTCATTAACTTCATCCTCCCAAAGTAACCTAAAGAGCTTGATTGTGTACATACAATGGAAGAGCTGTGCGAGACTTTTAGTGATCAGGTTTCGATTTTCAACATTTAGTACACTTGTCGAAAGTTGGCGAAGCGTGACGCAGATGATTATGTCATTTGTGCTGGCATCGTAAAACGGAAGTGCGAAAAATTTTAATTACAGACACTCACAAAAATCAGTTGAAATGCGATTTTTTCCCAAACTTCATTCGCTCCAAGTGTTATACGTCCGCACTCGAATGTTTTCCAAACTTGAACAAAAACCGGATATCACCATTAATTAACATCTGCGCAGTCTTAGGCACGATACCGACATCGGGTAAGAATCACGAGCACCAGGTCCAAGCAGCGTCTATGCATTGACACGAACAACTGTATAGACCAACAAAAAGCCACCAACTCCCCGTTGGTCATATGGCGAATGGCATTACGCTCACTTATGTCAGAAATGTCAATGATGGGGCCACAAAGAAGGCGTCTGTCGTTTCAAAATGTCAAGAAACCAACCATCCGAAAGGGCATCCACAGTTCAGCCAGAGAAATGTAGAAAACGCAACCATACAAAAACGTCCTCATGCTAATACTGTGTTCGTAACTTTCAAAGTCGATTTCGAATCCAGAAGAAAATATCTATCAGTTTCTGTCAATAATATCCCAGTCCGCTTTTAGCTTCAAAGAGCTGGGGACATTAGGTTGATCTCACGTTCTACCTGGGAGTTAATCGGTAAACCTGCACGGTAAAACCCTAGCCATTATGCACGGAATGTATCTGGTAGAACTTTACGGTTGTCCAGTTCAGTCCACTTCAGTTGAACACAGGATAGCGGATAGGCTGAAGCTAAAATAGGACAAGGTAGACAAGGTCTCCGGTTGGTGGGTTTTTGGGTGGTCAGCCGGCGGTCTGTTTCCTCGCCACCAGTGCCAGTACTCTTAGCACACGACCCAGGGCTGGACATTACGAGTACCTTCAGGTAGTGCTAAGCAATGTGCGCAGCCTAAGGAATAATATGTGCAATATAGGTCTGCTTGTAGATAGGTCTCATCCCGATATACTTGCATTCCCTGAAACGTAGCTCATCGAGATGAAGCGAATGGCCCGTTTCAGAATCCGTTCCATGGCTTTGTACAAAATCGGTAGCTGGCTGGATTCTTTCGGTTCCCCCCTTTGTAAATAGGTTTACCGATTTTCAACTGTCAAGCAGTTGGAAGCCGCCCGACATCAAAGGAACGACGGAAGATTTGACAGACGAGCGGCAATGTGCCCAGCCAGTCTTAAGGAACAATGGGTGTGAACCATCAGGACCAGGCGAGGAATACGGGTCTAGGTCGAGATGAAGTTTCATTACAACACTGATCAGTGTTAACATTCACATGCTCCAACAGGGAAGGAGGAGTGGGTGCAACGCTATCCTTGAGTGGCGTTTCGGTTGAGTAGACAGAGGAATATTGCTGGGCCAAAATGCTAGCTTTCTCAACGTCTTCGTAAACTAGGTCCAAATGCTCACGCGGAGACAAGGCAGGGACACCAGTGCCAGCTCTGCATGGGAGTAGCTAATTTCTGTACTGAAAAATTGGCCTGGAGGGGATTTGTGTCCCGGTACAAGTTCAAGTAGGACTGGAACGATAGGAGGAATCTTGCAAGTGTTCCTTCTTGAGCGGGTCGTCGATCCAGGAGTTGATAGGGGTGCTCCGACTTCTTGATTGGTCTAAAAGAAAAACACCCGAAAAACACCCTGGTCCACCAATTTAATGCCCACGTTCCTTACATTAGCTAACCCAGCTATGTCAGTTACGTGAAGTAAGTAAGAGAAGAAAAAGCGAAGGTAAGAGAATAGGGGAAATCAGTTAAAAGAAGAGAATAATACCAATGGCGAGGAAAAGTAAAGAAAACAGAACCGAAGTATGAAGATGGGAATTAGTCAGGAAAGAGGAAAGGTGTCGTGTTGCCACCCAAAAGCGTCTAGTTGACGCTCAAACCCCTTAACCGTAGCTTCCTTGACAACATGTTCTTGAAGCAGGTTCCAGCGCTCGATGCTTTGACGTGATAACCGTGTCTCCGCTCTAACTCGATCGGACCGCGGTTTGTCCAGCTTCATACAATGCCCGCGAAGACCAGATAATCTAGCACGACTAAATAGCATGTATAAATCAGGGCCAAAGTTCCTAGTCAAAATACGGTAGGTTAGGATTAGGTCCCCTCTAATCCTTCGATAGTGCATTGACTGCATCCCCAAACTAAGTAGGCGTTCGGGGTACGTTTGTCCTACCGACCTAGTACCGACACGCAACACCGTTTCTAGTGCCATTTTCTCCCGGACAAGGCAAGGTGGACAGGTCTGGACGCAATATCCTAGGTGGGGTCGCACAAACATATCAGCGGTTAGGGTCTCAAAAGAACGACGGATAAACCACAACATCCGGAACCCTTTACTAGCCGCCTTCTTCCAGTTGTCGCCAGAGTGTAATGTGGAACAGTGGACGACACCTAGATCAACCTGATGAGTCACGTGAGGGAGTTCACGCCCATCGAGCATATAACTTGTGAAGGAAGCAGACGCTCCGATACGCAGCACTGGACGCTTTGCCCGGTTTGGGGGCAGCAACCACAAGACAGCCCATTCCCAGAGTCTATCCAGAGCCCGTTGAAGAGCCACAGGACATCCAGGGATACCAACAATATTCCAGAGCTTTAGGTCATCAGCAAATAAGAGCGATGGTACCGCAAGCTCCTCCGGCAAGTCATTCACGCAGACAGAAAAAAGCGGTGGACCTAGGACAGAGCCTTGCGGAACTCCGTTAAGTACAGCTTATCGAAACGAAAGACTGCTTCCCACACGAATACACTGTTCACGTCCATCCAGAAAAGCTGACACCCGCTGGCGAGCGCGACCAGCTATTCAATACGACCTCAACTTCAGTGAGAGTCGCGAATGGGGGACAGTGTCAAAGGCCTTGGCGAAGTCAATGGACCCCACATCCACCGCATGTTCACTGTCTACGACTACAGCCCAGCTCTCACGAGCTACCAGCAAATTCGTCTGACACGAAAATCCTTCGCGAAAACCATGTTGCTCGGCGCAAAACAGGTTAAACCTATTTAAATGGTTCTCCACTGTATCTCGTACTAATTGTTCAAGTAACTTAACGACCACGCTAGTCAAGCTGACAGGCCTGTAAGTAGCCAGTAGGTCTTTGTCACCGCACTTGAAAATCGGGAAGACAACAGCCTCCTTCCATTCGGTAGGCAAAACACAGCTGTTGAGTGACTTCTGAAACACACAAGTCAGAGGTCCACTGCCACTTCATGCAACAATTTTGGATGAACGGAATCTGGCCCGGAAGCCTTAGTTGGGTTTACTTCTCTTAGCAACCGGAGAACTTGAGACTCAGTTACAGGAATTTCATCCAGACAACAGTCCTCAGAGACTCTTGAAGCTTACTCTGCATGGCGTATTTGTTTCGCGGACAAAGACGCTTGAGTAATGCTTTCCAAGCACGGACGCATTGTCATAGTCTCTATAGGCATGGGTCCCATCTCCTCGAAGCAATGGTGGTATGGGCGAGTTTGCACCACAGCATCGTTTAACGTAAGCGAAGAATAGCTTGGGATTTTTCGAGGCAGTATTAGCTAAGCCCTTTTCATACTGAAGCCGGGCCAACCTAAGATGTAGCTTGCACTCATTTCGAACCAACCGATACTTGTCAAACGTGCTGTTCGACGGAGCTGTTCGGTATGCTCGCCAGCATCTAGACCACTTCTTTAGCAGGCCCCTCCCCTCGGAATCTATCCACGGAGGATGCGCTCTCGATTCTCTTCTTTGTACCAGTGGGATGTGAGATGCAGAAATGTCTACGAGGTGAGCCTTAAGTTTTTCCTAGGCTACGTAAACAGTGTCGGTCTCAGATATCACGCAAGGCGATGACCTAGCTCTATCCCGCATCGCTTGGAAGTCCGC